CGAGCCGTGCCGCTGCGCCAAATCTCTAGGCCCGTGACAAATGGTATCAAAGCAGGATTTGGGGAAAAGCACAGAGGTGTGCCCCTTTGTCAATCCGGGGGTCTTGAGAATGAAGACGGTGCACTGAAAAAGCGTCGGTGGGCAATTAATGCTATTGGAGGAGAGCCTCCATCTCCCCATGAGGACGCGTCCTTTGAAGCCGGAGGGCCGCGCACATCGGATGGCTGGAGGGCCGCGCGCACCAAAGTTCTTACAAGTTCAAGAGGCGTGCAAACCGTTGTGAAGGGCAGGTATCAAGTCAGCCGGAGGGCGCTTGTTTGCTCGGGGTGTCGCGGAGGCGGCATAACATGGGGTTGCGTCCCGAAGAAGTGGGCGTCCCTTTAGCCCGAAACCCTATCATTGGGCGAGTGCAGCCAGGGATTGTATAAGGAAGCGATGGTGGGCAGGCGAGCATACCACTTGGAGGAGAGAGACTTTGGAATGTTGGACGCAGCGGAGTCAGCGCCGCACTGCGACGAGGGCGTTGCAGGATTTGGGTGGGGGAGAATGTCACGATCCGATTCCTAACGACACCATGAGCATAGAAGATACGCATGCTGGTTGGCTAAGAACATTCATTGACTGGGAATGGTTCCAGGGAAGGGGCGTGCAGGACCACAGGATGGTACCTCTTCAGAGTTCAAGTAGGTCGACTCGGTTCAGTTCGAGGTGCTTGTCGCTGGTCGTGGACTTGACTATGAAGAAGGGAGTTGGCCATCCCTGCACAAACTGGTCGGGAGCTGGAGCCGTTCCCCTGACGAGGCCACGGCAGGCCGAAACCAGTCAACATGTATCCTTGGGAGGGCAGGTCGTGGTAGCTGACCAGGGCGCTTGCGCGAGCTGAAGCAACGCCTTGGTGCCGCACGGGCCGTGCCGCTGCGCCAAATCTCTAGGCCCGTGACATAATGCTCGCTTCGTGAATCTTCTAGAAAGCTTAAGAGATTACTACATTGCATCATGCTTCCATCTTTGATCCCAATGAAATATATATATATATCGAGTGAAAAGAATAAGTGCACCTAGTCAAATAAATTTTAATAAAAGGTTCATTCTTTATCTTGATAATCGGTACTAGATTTGTGTGCTAGCTTGAGGCCGATTGTAACCATTTCATTAGTTGGCTAAGATAGCAACATATTTGATGTCGGTTCGCTTAAAAAGGATTCTAAAGTTGTTTTGATTTGCATGATCATCTTTCTTGATGTGTGGAGGACCACATTTGCTTGCATGTTGTTGAAATTTTGGAAAATTTATTAAAAACAGTTGAAAAATTGCATACTTGAGGTAATTTTCTCCCAATACTTGTTTGGAATGTTGGTGCATCTTTAGTGAAAAAGAGCTTAATGTTTGTGGGTATCATTTCTGGAAACCCTCACGAGATTTCACTCGTCCACTAGGGGTACCCTAAGAATTTAAAAAGCTTGTTACATATGTTAAATGCAATCGTGTTCCCTACGAAAGTGGCGTTATCCTTTTATTTCTTTCTAGTTCATTCATGTATAGTTGTTAGTTCATTGCTAGGGACTAAAAATATTTAAGTTTGGGAGTGTGATAAGTATTGAAAAGTGCGCATTTAAACCCTTTAATCTTGAGTATGCTAGGGCATTATTCTATTTTATTTCCCTGCTTTAGTCTAATTTTATATTTTTCTCCTTTTCAGGTACTTAGCCCCAAAATAAGCCAAATCAGCTGAATCAGAGCCTTAGAGGAAGCAATCCAAAGTCTAGTGGAAAGAAGGAACAAAGTAGAAGCAAAATGGTGAAAATTGTCCCTGTTCGATCGAACTATACTATGATCGATCACACTATGATCATTCCAACCCCGCCTTGATGGATTGAGCTTTTGTCTTTATCCTCAGGAAAATTTCCTCTTCGATCGATCCAATCTTTTCTTTGATTAATCGAACCCCTTGATCTTGTCCTCATAACCACTTTTGTCCATTTTTCCATAAATATCTCAGCCTTTGTATTTATCCAAATAAGTGTACCGCCATGTTTCGATCGATCGAAGCAACAATGTGATCGATCGAATTGCCTTAAAAATCGTGCAAAACAGATTTCAAACCCAATTAAAGTTGTGCTCGTGGTGCAATCATTTAAAGGTCTTAGTGCACGAGATCTGACCATTGAGGGTGTCATTTGAGCTACATATATAAGAGATTTGGCAATTTTTAGTAAGAAGGTTGGTTAGTTGGAAATTTTTGGTTAGAGATTAGAGAGAAACTATACACAAATTGGGGCGGATTCTCTTTCCATTTTTTCTAAGGTTTCTATCAAGAACATCAAGATGAGGAAGATGAATACAACCAAGAAGAGAGCCCTTGAGGGTTGGATGACAACAAACATGAGTGGTTAGATCATTCTCTTGGGGCTAAAGATAGCCCTAGGCTTACCTTCTAATCTTTAATATTTTGAAATTAGTGGGGATTTGTGTTGTAAATATTGTATTGACCTCATATTTATATAAATCTTGTTCTACATGATTTGTGTTGGTTAATGCTTCCAATTAATCTTTCAATTCTATTCATATGTCTATGTGTGATGGAATGGATGATTATATGCTTACACTTGATTCTTTACATTTGAATCATGTCTATGTGTATTAAAATAATAGATCTAGTGTTGGTCAATGCACGGTGCTTAATTGATTACTCGTGTGATTTATTTGATGGATTATGTTTATTGCTTAATGGATTGTGCTGCCTCCTTAGCTTAGTTAGTTTAATTTCCTTATCATTAGTATAATTGTAGTGTAGGGGCTTTAAATTCCTATATAGGTAAACAATCCATTCTTGTTGTTTGATAATCCATGCTTATAAATGCAACTAGTACATTTCTCTAGATTTTGTGTGCATCAATTGTTGGTTTATTGAATGGTTAATGGCTCAATTTGATACGTTGTGATACTCACTAACTTGATTAGATAATGTATACTTATTTTGTCATCCATGCTTAGTATTTCAATTGATAACACACATATTTATTTTACAACATTTAATCCCCCTAATTTTACAAATATTAGATGTTTAGTGAGGTAAAGCTTAGTTGTGAACTCTATGTCCCAAGACCCATCTCTCATTCTCTACACCTCATTTACTTTAGCTTGTTTTACATTGCATTGATTTTAATTAAATTGTAGTATAATTCAACCAACAAACCACTCACTTTGATCATTCGACCTACTAATCCAACTTTGATTCTGTAATACCTTGCAAATCTCTTGGAACGATCCATTTTCACTCATACTACATAGTATAATATTAAGTGGTTTTTATAAATTTTAAATGTGGTGGCCACTTCACACACTCACACTTTTTACATCTTTTTTAGCATAAGGTCACGGATAACACAACGGTTTTGGCGCCGTTGCAGGGAATTAACAGCAACGTATTAGGAATTGAATAGGAATTAGTATTCTTTTGATCATTGTTTTTATTTTATTTTTATGTTATTTCTCACTTTGTTACTCTTAATTGATTAGGTACTTAGAGCAAAGAGAAGCAAGCAAGGAGCCTCAAGGCAAGCTTAAAAAACAAGCGAAGCAAAAAAATAAAATAAAATAAAATAAAATAAAATAAATTAATTAATTAATTGCAAAATCAAAAATGCTTTAAAAATTCTTGAAGTTGCTTAAAGACATTTGTGAGCGTTTCTAAACTCCTCTTGCTTAATTAATCATCGGCCGTGTGGAGGCCTTGTTATTAGTGTTAAATCATTAGCCCGTGTAGAGGCCAATTTAATTTTTGCATTGTTGAAAAGCATGGAAGTATTGGAACAATGTATGTGGAGGCTTTGTGCTTATTGATTTGTGTCATGGAGGAGAAGTGTATTTGCTATTGTTGTGTTTGTTGTTTGTGTTGACTTGCATTGCGCATGCTTGGTAAGAAATCACTAAACCGCCCTCTTGTCCCTATGAATCCTAATATCGATTCCATTGTGCATAATCCAAGGGGTAAAGCTAGTCCTAGTGTTAATCTTTCCATTCTTGATCAATCCATTTCATCAATGGAAGATCACATTGAAGACCTAGGCCATATAAATCACCACGGCATCCATCATCCCAATATCGTGCAACAACATGATAATATGCACATTCCTCTAGGTATGCCTAGACCTCTTGCTCCTCTAGGTGTGCCTCCTTATCACATTTTTTGGCTTTGTTAATTGAGTTCAGTTTTACTAGGAAAGGGCCCCCAAACATTGCTTAGTGTAGGCCCCAAGCCAAGTATCCGCACACAACCCCTTCTCTCTTCTCCCCTCACAACGGAGTACAAATCATCGAAACTGCCAATAAGCGTGTCAGAGTATTGGCTTGCTTGAAGATCTTATATGTTTTTCTGCACAATTATGGTTCTACGATTCTAGTTTGGGCCAATTTCCCTTGTTGGGGTCTATGCCCTATTGGGCCCACTGCAAAAAAGAAAAGAAGAAAGTGCTTTTATTCTAATTTTTAGCTAGTTCCATAATTATTTATGGAATAAATTGAGAAAATTTGATTTGGCAGGCTTTAACCTTCTACAACTGCAAGAACTTGATAGTGAAAAAGCTGAAGATTGAAGATGCACAACAAATTCACATTTCTTTTGAGAAATGTGTGAATGTTGTAGCTTCTAATCTCATGGTGACAGCACCCGAGAATAGCCCCAACACTGATGGGATTCATGTCACAAACACCCAAAACATTCAGATTAAAAGCTGTGTTATTGGAACAGGTACACTTCAAAACATAACTCATCCAAATACTTCTAATACACATATATATGTTTCTATCTGATAAAGTTCCTAATTAATTAATGTGTTTAAAGGTGATGATTGTATATCTATTGTAAGTGGGTCCAAGAAGGTGCAAGCCACAGACATAACTTGTGGACCAGGTCATGGTATCAGGTCTTCCATTCGAATCTCTAACTAAATTTTGTACAATTTGATGTGAAATGTTTCGAGTTGTTTTGATATATAATGTGCATAAATTAAAGTAATGTTCTATTTTATTCCTATATACACATATAGAGGGTGAAGGGGCAGAAAATTCCCTAACCATCACAAGCAAAAAAGTTGTCTGAGAGTTATGGAGATCGAGCAGAGGCGAGACGCAAGCCGGGTTAGCCTTGCAGCTGAGAAACGGCCTGATCAATCAAGGGCTTCAGCTGAGAAATGGAGATCGAGCAGCTGGTGAGAGATCGAGACAGTGTAGAGGAGAGTGGCTCTTGCAGCTGAGAAACGGCCTGATATATCGAGATAGAGCAGAGGAGAGACGGCCGGCCTGAAGATACAGCTAGGGCTTCAATTTGAAGATGAGATAATAGTTTAAGTTAGATGAAACAAATGAAACAAATGGTCAGACGAAACAATGGTTTAAGTTAGATGAGATAAAATGGTAAAGTTAGAAACAAAATGCTGAAATAATATTGGAGCACCAAATTTTCCCGCAATACAAAAACCAACCCGTCAAAAAATTGAACAAAAACCACTGATCCAGAATACAAAGACATTCATAAATTGAGAATTATATCTCAATTTTCTACTTTGTTCAACCTGAACTGTAAAAGCTCGTTCATCAAAAAATGACTAACATTCTAATATTAAAACACTAAAGACTCAAAATTCAACTATAAAAATCACTGAACTGAACTGATGAAACCCATTAATTCTAAATGACTGAACTTTAATAATCTTGAACAATCATATTGTTTACTACTGAGATGAAAATTTTAAAAACCCTAATTTGATGAACCACAATAAAATTCAATCGTCTGAGAATCCAACAGATGCAGTAAAACTAAAACAGACCCATCATTCTATGGGGTCTACTGAATCAAAAACAAGCACGACTAACCCTAGAATTGCGTAAAATGAATGATCAGTGAGAAATAAAACAACGAAACCACGAAGAAATTAAAATGAAACAGAGAGGTACCTGAGAGAGGCTTCAGTGAGAACGTTTTGGGAGGAAAATCTAGTGAGTAAGATCTCGAAATGACATAAATTAACAGCTCTTGGAGTTCGAGTAACTGGTGAGAGATTGAGACGGAGGAGAGACGGCCTGAAGAGAAACCTAGGGCTTCAACTTTGTCATCTCGGATGAGATAATACCGAAAGAGAGACGGGGTTAGCAAACATCAATCAGGGGCTTCAGCTGATAAATGGAGATCGAGCAGTGAGAGATCGAGACAGAGCAGAGGAGAGACGGATGACGATACAGATAGGGCTTTTATTTCAGATGAGTAAAATGGTAAAGTTAGATGAGAAGTCAGCAAATTGGTAAAGTTAAAAACAGTAGTAAACTAAAATAATATTAGCGCCAAATTTTCCCGCGGTCGAAGTAGATATATACCAGCGGTCATAAAAAGAACGCTGGTAGAATGCCTATATTGTCAGTTCAATTAATCTACTACGTTTCTTAAATTGTGCAAATTACAACATTATGTCAATTTAGTAATTGAAATGTTCAAAATACCCATATAAAAGAAATAAAAAATAATGAAGAAACAAAATGTCCTCTCTCTCCTCTATTTCTCTCCCAATTATCATTTTTTGGTCTGTCTCTCTCTATTTCTCTTTTTCCCAATTATTATTTTTTTGTATAATGAACAAATTTTTTTTTTATAACTGTGGAACCCACAAAGGCAGGGTCCTTTGGAAGGTAAATCACGAGAACACTGGCGAGACCCAAACACTTGTCTCCGGGTACGTCACGAACAATCCAAAAAGAATATTACTTTTAATGCGCCTTTCAAGTGTAGAACTAAGAACCTCCTCTTTCAGAGCATCTATCTCACGCCTCTACTCCACTTAATCAACCCGTGCGGATCAAAAGAGATACAATTTTTTGTAGTTCACTCTTCTACGGTAAATAGTCTTCCTTTAATTCAATGTCTTTGAAATGTCCTGAGCTTCAAAAGCTTGATCTTGAAAAAGTTGTATAGAATTTCCTTCAAATCCTCAAGTTTGAATTAAGAATCAACTGAATTTTCAATTAAGGGCCGATGGTGGTAGAAACACAAGATTGATTTTGAAATAGTTATTTATTATTATTTTTTAATATTTTAAGTCCAAAACCCATTTCCTAAACCCTATGCTATCTATATTTATAAGAATTCCGATATCAATTTCTTTAAAATTCCAGCAGCCCACCAACTAAACATAGCTAAATTCGACCTCAAACCAATCATTATAGCTATTCATAACCTAGACTTTGCTTCCACATCTTTACACTATAATCAGCTATTCATAACCTAGACTTACCTGTAAATTAATCAAAGACATCATTTTTGAGACTTCCAAGTGCTGTCTTCAAATCAACAAAGCATTTGTCACATTGTTGGATACTAGGACTGGTTATTAATTAGTACGCACCAAGAAAAATTGTCACCGGCTATTAAATGGTAGTAGAGACACTGAGGATTACATTCAGCATGTAGTATTTAATATGAGTAGTCTTATTAAGAGAGCTCGATCCCATGTATCCTATTTGGTATAAGCTCTTCATATTTCACCATGAATTGAAAGATGTATTAACTGAGGAAGCTCTCTTGATAGCATTAACTCTAGGGTACGTACACCATAAAACTCAAATCTTCATATCTTCATTTTCAAACTCAATACCATTCACCAAGTATAAGAACTACCTAACAATCATATATCTTTCCCAAATTTCAGCATTATACAGAAGCGGATTTGCTGAAATTGTCAAAGGCAATCCCTCCTCACACTATACCGTAGTATTTCATAGTCGAGCCTAAAGTACAAAAATAAGAAACTAAATAAATCCCACAAGACCAGTTCTATGTTTTGCACAGCATGGATATGTTGAGAAATAGAAAGAGCCATCTGAGAGAGATGCCAATAAAAGTAACATATCATATAGCTCTTTGCCTACAAGCTAGTCTACAGCTTCATAACCATGAAAAAGCTCAAGTGTGTAAAGCTACTAGTTAGAATCAAAGTGATCACAAATTAACAGATTTCTAGTAGACGTACTTGACCCATCAGGGGTACCTCTATCCCATTTTCTCTGCAACGGCTTGCAGAAGCACGAAATGATGAATCAACGAAAACTGTTCCATGAAAATGCAACTACTGCAATTAATACAAACTCATTGCCTCTTGATTAATTTTATAGTGAAATACTACAATGGTAAAATGATTTCCACATTTGCTCAACAATAAAAGAAAAAAAAAATTCATATTAAAACACATGCAATGCTTATATAATAAGCACAAATTATTCCTAGGAGGTCAGAATTTGGTATTCTGTTGCAATATATGGACATGCATGTGCACTAGGAGAGCATGTTCAGGCATCACCAATCATAAGAAAATCTCTCCCCTTCCATGTATCAAAAAGCATTCTTTCACTGAATCCTATTTGGGGTGCGCTAGCTAAATAAACTAAAACTGTTTCCACCGGATTCAAGTTTTACTGATAAAGCTGCAAAATCCTATAATGACAGAGTTGACCATCATCATCTTCAATTCCAATACCTTGAAGGGTCCAATGAATTTAGGAGCTAATTTTCCTTTCCTATCAAATTACATAATAATCCATGCATTAGTGACGTGCACCTTAAGGAAAGCATGATCTCCAACGGAAAACTGAAGCTTCCTCATGGACTAAAATCCTCTCCTGCACAACAATGTCGGGTCTCCCCCAGTTAGTTAGTGATGCATCACAACATTTTCCTAATGTACATCCTAAGAAGAGTGCTTATTACAAGTTCTAGGAATTCCAAACATGCACTAATACAAAAACAGAGCTCAAGCTTACAAGTCTGCTTTAACAAACTAGACATGTTGTCATTTGAAGCTAGAGAGGCATTGGGCTTCCAGTTTTAGCCAATCTCAATTTTCTTTTCCTGCATTCATTTCAATGCTTGAGCTTAATTAAATGATCAGGACAGTAAAAATTTAAACATCATCTGTATCCAACATATTACATATAGTGATATCATAGTAAGTTGTCAACATTGATTCAACACATATATATAAATAATAAGCAAACATTCAACCCCTCACGATAGAAACTTTCAACACAAAATCATCTTTCTTAATTAGCTCAAAGACACAAACATCTCCTGCTTTCAGAGTGTTATCTTTAGCAAATGCTGCCCAACCCATAGAAATCCTGGCTTGGCAATTTTGATAGGTTTTCACTTTCACAGGCCATGACTTCAGTCTTCGTCGACACCTGAAGAACAGCATTCTCTTTACCCTTTTCCATGTACTCCTTGAACCTAAATGGTATATTCTGCACATAGTGCAAGTTTGTATAATATCATTATGAACATTGATATACAATGTGAACAAATCAAAACAAGTGGGATAACAAAAATTTTAGCTTGACATCAAAAGTACTTTCGTTTGCAACACCTTGCCCTAATAATTAGTCAATGCTAGCTAGCTCTGACACAGTTATAGAAATGTTTCCAAAGAAATGCTACCAACAACTGTGAACTCTCATGTCTTGGATGAAATTGGTTCTACTTTGTGACTCCCAAAAGCTGAGATCCTGGTTGTGACAATGGCCAGCAGTCATTTTTTCACAAACAATGACCAAGTATTCTGGTGAGTAACTAAATGTGGCCTAATAGAAGAGTTTAAGTTCCTTATCCTACTATATGTAAAAGCTATATATATGAATTGTTGTGTGTTCTGGTTGAATTTTAGTAAAAAAAATTTGGAGTTGTAAACCTTACCAGAAAACAACCCTTAATTTCAGCTGAATAAGATGGTTTTATGACTAGTTGGAAGAAAGGATATGCAGAGTCGAATTTTGTTGCTGCTTTACGAGCTCCATCATTCTCTTCAATAGCTATCTGCTTGCCTCTTTCTTTAGACTTTCCTGCATTACATGTACATATTTATACATCAGCTATATATATGATTTATGAGGTAAGTTGGAAACTTGTATGCTCCACTAGAAATTAACAATTAACAAGTACTTACTGGGTTTAAATGTCTGATTTTCTTGGAAAACTGTAAGTGATTTTTGAGTAGTCTTCCCAGTAGGGATTGGAACCTTCTTTAAACAGCCACTTTTTCCAAATATTTTGACATAAAACATTGAACTACCAACGTAGCAGAATACTAGAAAATCTTCGTATTCTAATGTATTGTCTCGCACAAATTTGTGCCAACCATTTTGAAAATACAGATTGTTATCAATCATGCTCATTTCCACCCTCCATTGTCTCCTTCCATGATTCATAATTGTAGACTTGGAAGGTATAGTTCCATTGAATTCCTTGACGAATGCCGGTGGAATTCGCTGTAACAGATCAAAAACTAATTTAAAAATAAAAAGTTAAGCTAGACCTCATGAAATATATATATATATATATATATATATATATATATATATATATGATAGCCATCACAAAAAAATTGTTGTGAGTTTATATCAGCCATTGCACCATTTATATAAAATTTCTTAGCTAAAAGAATAATGTACAGCAGTATAGAGAGATACACTAAGTTTCATTTGATTTTATAAATTGCAACTCATTCAATATATTGCTTTAGAATTGAAAATTGACCTTATAATCTTATGGTCCATCTTATAAGATAAAAAAAATAAAAAATAAAAAATAAAAAAATTCATAACAAAACAGTCATTTTCTTCAACCATTGATCGCGGTAGAAGATTGATAGTAGTTGCTAGTTGTAAGAAGAAGAGAGATTACCAGTTGTCGAGTGCTTTGACCTGGGAGATAAACTTTGAAGAACTTCTTGCCTCGTTTCACCATTGTTGTTCACGCCAAAACCCTACAAAAGCGTAAAAACCCTAAAACCCTAATGGGATACAGCCCAAGCAACTTGTGACATTAGAGTTTCAGAATCCAGAATAGTTCAGATAAGTTTCACATGAAACGGATTGCTTTTAAAATTCTTATCCAATGGAATGGTATATATCAAGGTTGTTAAAATCGGAATTCTACGCAGAATCGTTTTGGTTTCCGTAGAATCAAAATCGTAGATTGTGAAAAAACAATTGAAACTAACTCTTTTTAAACAGCAAGATCTATAAAATATAACAAAAATAAGTCCAAAACAGACAATCAAATATATCTAACCTCAACATAGCCTATCAAGAATAAAATTTGACATTTAAGAGATATTTTTTACATTAAATTAACTCGATCCTATATTATATTAGTAATTATATTTAGATTTATAATATTTTGAAAACTAAATTAATTATATATATATAATTTTTTTTTTATTTTTATTGTATCTTATATATAACGGAATATTTATTTAATATTACCATCCAAAAAAATATTTATTTAATATTTAATACTTTCTAGACGTTTCTGGGT